TTGGGGTGACGGTGGATTACGAACCAGTCATGAACTGTCAATGCAATGTGATGCAGCAGTTTGAATGGCTATTGCTATTCTGGGCTCTGTTCAGGGAGGTATCCTTTGGAGGAGAAAAGGGGTAATAATGCTTCTCAGTTGTTCAAGTGGCCAGTTCTGTTGCTGCCCTATGATGGAATAGCTTTACTCTAACACTGTTATGGTTGGGGCAGCTTGTTCAAATAAGACTTCTAAAAATCTTTGTTCCTCTGAAAGGCAGGGGGGAGAGTTTGCAAGAACAGACCCAGTGTGGATACCATAGTAAAAATTATCTGGAGTGGTGACACAAGTCCGATATTGCACTGATACTCCTAGGATCTCACCCTCCTTGACCTCTTGGTTGCTCTTCATGCTCTCCATCATACTTTCCTTCTCAGTGTCTTGTCCTCTGCTGGCTTTTGTGACTCCATGCACTCTTGAATCTCCTCCTACCTCTCTGCTTGTTCTTTCAGTATCTCTGCTGGTGAGACATCTTGCTTCCTTCCCCCACTGGCCATTGGGATCCTGCCAAGACTCTGCTCTGGGCCTACTCTCTCTTTACTCTCTGCTGCTGAGTGCTCAACCCTGACTTGGTCTCAGTTCCCGTCCATACATGGATGACTCACAATTCTCCTTCTCTGTTGCTGACCGCAGTCTCACCTCTCTGCATTTCTCTTTGACAGCTGCTCCTTAAACTTAAATTTAGCATGACCAAAAATGAACTCCGGCTCTTTCCTCCAGTATGGCCCCTCCAGCAGCACAAATGAGCTGTAAAGCTGTGAGGAGTCCTGTGGCATGGAGGAACCCCCAGGTGGCAAAGTCATCATAGCTAGCTCTACACCAGTCCCTCCTGTCTGCTTCCTCCTTCTCCCCATGCCCCAAGGCTGCTGTAACTTACATTGGTGGCTAATGGCCTTCAAAGGTCAGCTACACTAGCAAAGGATCACTGGAGCGATACATGCCCCCAGCACAGACTGGTTCGGGGGGGGCTGGTGTAGAACCAGCTGTCTCTACTCTACCTGGGGAATCCTCTTCTGCTCAGTCAGGGCAGCTTTACAGCCCCCTGGTGCTACCGGAGTTGCACTACAGAATTGTACTGGGGGCAGTGATCTGGCCTTTTAGCTTTTGCATTTCTGAGTTTTGCACACATAAGTCCCCTATCCTGCAACAGCCACCACATGAACGCACCCCAGTGCCCAGGCAGAACCCCACTGACTTTAATTTGGCTCTGCGCAGGGGCTCTGCATGGAGCTCACTGCAGGATCAGGGCCTATGTTTGTAACTTGAATGCTGTTGTAATGTAGTTATTCGCATTTAGTATTTCCATATTTGCTTCTATAAATATAACGTATCTATGCTTTAAGATTTAGGATGTCAACTAGCATAGGAAAGTTTAACGAAACTGGAAGGTAGAATTTCAAGTCAGCACCATTTAACAAGACAAAATTGATGCTTGTTTTTTTTATTCCCTACTTAAATGTATCCAGACTAGGCCAATGTTTCCTTCTTGGTCAGGGAATCTCTGAGGTTATGACTACATGGAAAGTTTGACTGGCTTGAGTGTACAGCCAATTTTTAAAGGCAGCATTTGTTGAGAGCTGAGTAATTAGAATATAAATCTGAAATATATACGCTTAGCTGCTTTGATGGGCAGTGACAAAGCGCTGTGTGTGTGTGTGTGTGTGTGTGTGTGTGCACGTGCGTGCTGAAGTATGCAAGGATTATACCCTTGTTAACCAAAACAAACGGACTTAATGCAAAGTGCTGTATTTTTAAACACCACTTACTTAAGGTCATGTCACAAGTGACAAAAGCCAGGTGAGATTCTGAGAGAAGATTCCCTCTGCTTCCTACACTCTATAATAATAAATCCTTTTATAGGTGCTTTGTATCCTGAAGAATCTTGAAGGGCTTTATAGATTGTATATATGAGGATGGTCTGCCCAGAAGTGAAATGCTGGTTCCTCTGGGGTGGAATGAGCTAGCTACTCTGTACATCTACACTACAGGACAGTTTTGAAAAGAAGTGAAAATAATGCCCCTTATTCTCCGCTCCCTTTGCACAAATGGGTGGGAGCGGAGAGCCGGTTGTGTCTCCCTAATCCAGAGCTGTGTGGCCCTGTTGCAAGTTAAGATAAGGGCAGCTCTAATTTTACACCAGCAGAGGATTGGGTGTGGCAGAGTTCTGCCCTGCCATGCCCCCTCCAGTCCCCTGGAATGCCCCTAACATGCCCCTTTCAACTTCTTAGCTGTGGGAAAGGAGAGGTAGCTGGTGTAGGAGACAGTAGAACCACTTGCAGCAAGCAGCAGCTCTGCTGCACGGGGAGGATTTTTCTCCCGGTATCTCTGGCTAGTTTAAGGCCACTTTCTGCTGCAGATTGAGAATCTAGCCTAAAGTCTCCAATGAAACTGTGTGGGGAATTTTTGGAGGCAGATCCTAATTACCTCATTTTGGAGTTTAGCCAGAAGACCAGAGCTAACGCCCCAGTGCTTGGAGTTACTAAAAGTCTCTGGCACTTTCCACTAGTGGCCAGAAGTTTGGGTTTAGGTTTCTGCTGAAAGAAAAGAACTTATGCTGCTTTATCTGAATACTGCAGTGGCTCATCTGCTGCATGAGATCATGTGTTACACAGAATGAAGGGAGTTAAAGGGGCAGTAAAAGGCTTAGCTCAGTACTCCTCTGTAGGATGGAACTGGCTTGGTGATCTTGCAGTAACCCTACACTGCCAGGTGAAACAGGGGAGAGACATAGACATGCTTCAAACCCTGTATACTCCTGGATTAGATCTGGGACCAGTGAGGAAATAGTTTCAAGGGTAGGCCTATGTTGGGAGAGATCCTTTGATGTATGTTCCCCTCCCCTGTCCCACCCATCTCAGGGTCCCAGTTCAGTCATTTTATTCTCTCTAGTATCTTAAAAATCCATTCTCTCTTCTCCCTGTCCTCGATGAATTGCTGAAATCCCTTTCATCACGCTGGCCTTCTCTCACCTTGACTATGTTAGCCTTCTCCTGCCTGGAGCTTCTCACATCTCCCCCGCAAGTCTGTCCAAGTGCTGCTGCTGACATTTTCTCCCCCCTGCTCCGACCATGTTCTCACCCTCTTTAAATCCCTCCACGGCCTTCCTGATTCTTACTGCACTGGATTCAAGTTCCTCCTCATTTCATAGCCTTACATAATCAGGGTCACTATCTCTGTTCTCAATTCCTCTTCCTGTTCTCGCTCTCCCCCCCAATACTCCCTCCTTATTCCTCCCACTCTTGCCTGGTTGCCTTCTGATGCGTGTGCCTGAAACATTCTCCCTGCCCTCATCCACGAAGGGCCCTCTTTCTCGTCCTTCAAAGTCCTCCTCAGAACTCACCTCTTCAAGCAATCCCTCCTCTGTTTTTCTCATCAGTTATCCCCCCGCACTTCCCTTCTCTTGAGTTCTTACCTTATTCAGAGACTGTAAGCCTTTTGGGGCAGGGAATGTGGCTTATTGGCGACTGCACATTTCTGTGTATATTTATAGTCCTAAATAAATATTTTATAACCATAACAACTCAACTTTGCCATTTAATGGCTATGATGGGAGCTCTGCCCAGTACTCCTCCATGGGAAAAAGGAGGTTTAGGGGAAGGAAAGGTGGTAGTGTGGTAGTTGGGACTGCAGCTAGTGAAAAATAACACTGAGTTTCCCTGTTGCCCCGTCTGTTTCTAGACATCTTTTTTAAAGCTTTGTGTTTCCACAGAACACAATCTTTAAGGGCATGGGAAGTACAGCCTGCCCTGTACAAACCCATCAATTACATGAATCCTATTATTTATTTCCCCTTCTCGCCCAATCTGGCCCACCTGTTTGTCTCCACCAACCTGGTAAATCTCACCTTTTAGACTGTAAGCTCTCTGAGGCAGGGGTTGTCATTTATTGTGTGTTGATACAGAGCCTGGCACAACATGGTTGAGGCTTTGAGGTGCTACCAACAATATAAATGTCTGATGATGTACTGCAACCCTGATCCAGAGGGAGTACTTAGAGTGGAAGGAGGAACTGTGGTCTCCACGGCCTATTCAGTCTTTGGCCTCTGGGCTGTGACCACCCAGAAGCGGTCAGCTGTGATCGCTGGTTCTGTGTTGTGAATCGTGTCCACTAGGAATGGGATTGAGATCATCCATCCTCTTCCCCACCAATTCATGCCACTCAATGACCCACCAGACAACCAGAAGATGGTAATAGCTCTTGGTTGAGAGGGCTTATGTTTAAAAAGACAAGCAAAACCTGATGTCTTTTACAACTAAAAGCTAATTGATGCAGCCCTAGTGTATCAGTGAATCCTTAGATCACTCTGCTTGATATTCACAACATTTTCTTCATGGGAAAACTGCTATGATTATTCACCAGACACCTAAAAACATTCAATATGCTCTGATTTTTAGAAACATTTTGCAGTTTCATTGTCTCTAGTCAGTGAATGCTGCTGGTCCTCTCTGAAACTTTCTAACAGGAGCTCCAGTATGATGTAGAGCAGGACATGGGAAAACCAGCTTCTATGTAAATGCACTACAAAAACAGGAGACGTTCCACGCTGTTGGAAAGGAAGGTTTTCTACATTCTTTTTAATTGCTCTGTTTAATTTACTACTCATAAAATGACCAAACACACTGTTAAATTAATCCAAATAGGAACAAAATGCGGATGTTAAAAATACTCTATTTTACCAAACAGTTTCCGTGAGAGTCTTCTGCCTCTTTCATGCCTGTATCTTGCTGAGCCTCATACATGGAGTGCAACTCTACATCATCAGACTGCCATGACGGTGGTTTCCAATATCACTGTTAATGTTTTTTTTTTTTTAATGACATGTCAGACACTTTTCAGTAAATCTCAATGGTTTCCAATGCTCCTATATTATGGGAGTGGTGACTTGTCAAGGTGGGTGGTGGTGGTGATGACACTTATTCTAACCACTAATTCCCATTACAAATATCTCTTCTGTTTTACAGGGGGAACACCTGAGCACGCCATACCCAGGACAATAACCCCGTAACAGAAAGTGCTCCGGATGTTTTAGTGACCACAGATAATAAGGCTTCCATTTTAACCAGATGGTTAGTAAGAAGGCACCTCCCAGCACCATACTGAGGTATGAGTTCTGTTAAAATATTCTTTGCCATTATATAAGAATATCTTACAGCAAGGAACAGTTGGCAGGGACGACCTAACAGATCTTTACCATCTTTAAATTCTCTGATTTTTAATAGAGCATGTTTTGAATGTGGCATTAGATTGCAAGCTCTTTGGCACAGGGACCACATCTTACACGTTTGTGCAGCACCTAGCGCAACAGTGCTCCGGTGCTGGCTGGGGCTCTGAGCGCGATCTCAGTACAAAAGAATAATGACAATATCTTGGCTGCTTGCAACTTGAAAAGGGAGAGATGACATGCTGAGACCTGTAGTCTCTATAAGCCACAGATTGTATTAAAATTAATGGTGGCTGCAGTTTGTTCCAATGTATGCAAATTAGCTGCATCTCACAGGCTGTTGGAACGCTGCCAAAGTATGGTGGGTTTTGTTTTGTTTTGTTTTGTTTATTTTTTGGCTGGACAAAGTTTGGGCATCATTAAAATGGCATTTCCTTTCCCCAGTGCTACACTGAGGGCAGTTTAAGGCTGGCTTTCTCGCAGTATCATTGTACAGGATGCTTACAGTGTATTTGTGATGTGCACTTTGCAGGCAGTTCAGCAGCTTGCTGCTCTCACTCAGAGAGACAGCGGGGAAGGATCTCGGTTGTGTGTCATGTTTCTTGCCGACAGAGACTGTATTTCTTAACCTGTCCAGACATGCTAAGGTGGCATTTGTGTGATCTGACAAGCCCATCCCACAGGAACATAAGAAAAGAGCAAAAGAGGCAGATGGAAGACAAAACATCCTTTTAGAAAGATCAGAACTTCTAAAAAATTAATCTAGAGAATGGCTCCCTGCCAATGGGATTTCACTAAACCATTGATCTGAATCATGCTGCAGATGGTAATGTCTTTCCAAGTGTTAGGAAAACACAGGCCTCGACCCTTAGTTTCCTTGCATCGCAATTTCTGATCCAGAAACATAATGAGCCCAAAAAGGAAGAGCATGTAAAAGCTGCTCTTCAGCAGCATTGCTATTAGAGATCTGAATAGCTGGCTCGTAGACGGGAAAATTGCCCCCATTTTGTTCAGCACAGCAGTTTGAACACGTTCGCTGAGCAAAATGCAAAGGCACTGCCAACAGAGTGTGAAATCTATAACTCTGCATTTAAGGTTAAGATTCCAATTGACATGTCTCCGCGTTGTGCTAGGGTGACCAACTGGATAGAAGGTGAGCCCAGTTGTGACGTCGGCAGCAGTAGAGCTCCAACTGTAAATCAGTCTGCAACCAGTTTGAGGCTAAGTTAGATGTTTTCAAGAAGAATTAGAAGTTTTAAAATTGATTTTTAAATATTAAATTAGGTGCTTTACAATGCTATCTATCATCCTTCTATGGTCTCTGAGCACCTCTCATTTAATGTATTTATCCTCCCCAATCCCAGGGCCCATGTGACCTAGGAAAGTGCTATTATCCCCCTTTTACAGTTGAGGAACAAAGGCACAGAGAGACTCCGTGATTTTCTCAAGGTCACACAGGAAGTCTGTGGCAGAGCAGGGATTTGAACCCAGGTCTCCCAACTCCAATGTTAGTCCGTAACCATTGGACCATCCTTCCTCTCTAGAGCACCCATTTGTAATTCCTTAATAAAGATGCTCAACTTAGTAAAAATGTTATACACACAACTACATTAAAAGGACATTGTTAGAGTTGGAAAGTCAAGCACTCCGACATTGGGAAAATGCCAGAATTGAGGTTGCCCATGCAACCTCAGTTCAGCCCCCTTGTGTGTATGCATTATGATAGTCTTTAAATTACATGATTACATGTTTTTCCTCTACAGGACCCCTGCTTTGTTCAGTGCATAGGATTGGCCTGCTCTGGGCATGACTCAGAGTTGTGTGGTGAAGAAGGAGGCTGTCTGGAAGACCCCTACTTTGTTTCTTGCAGAATTTGGAAGGTGTGCACCTGTTGTGGTTGCTGGGAGACAGTGGGCCTAAACCTGTCCATAGCTAAAGCCCATCCTCCCCTCAACTGAGGGGGAGGGACCAGTGGATACTGAGGACAACAAATAAAACAGGGATGGGAGTGAAGGTCATAGGGTCTAAAGGGACACAGAGCAGAGAACCCCTGACAGTGCCCACTGCTCCTTAGAGGCATCTGAGGAATAAGTGGATGCCACCCAGAGGAATCCGCCTGCAGATGCGATTGAACAAGGGAACAGAAATAGGTCCCACAATTGCAGAGCAACCTCACCATCCAGCTTCTTCCTCCTGGTGTGATGAATGTCTGTCTTGTCCAGCACCAGAAGGAGGAGGTTGATGAGGCGGTCTCGCAACTTTGTGGGGCCAGGAATGGGATGTGTGAATGAGGCAGGGCATTGCAGGAAGAGAAAGGATGGTCTCATGGCTAAGGCAGGTGAATGCTGCCCTGGAGAACTGGATTCTATCCCTTCCTCTGCCACAGAGCTCCTGTGCGATGCTGGACAAATCACTTAAACCAGACTTCTCCCGGATGGTCACTAATTGTGTGTCCCTCGTTTTCTGGGTGCTCAATTTGAGACACTGGGGTCTGATTTGTAGAAGTGCTGAGCATTCATAGTGCAACTGAAATCAATGGGAGCCAAGCTTTGAACCCATATAATCCTAAATACACTGAAAAATGAGGTCTTAAGTGTCTCAAATTGGGCATCCAAAGTTAGTGCATGCTTTTGGCTTTATGTCCTCTGTTCCTCAGTTACCCAACTGTAAAATGGGGATAATATCTCACAGGGGAATGATGGAAAGTAATTCAAGTCTAAGAAGCACTCAGATATTTATAGTGATGAGCACCATAGAAAAGCCCATGTGGAAATTAATAATGCTGTTTCCAGAGCAGAAATAGTGTGCAGTAAACAAGGCCTGGGACCATATATTGAACAATGAGGATTAAACGAACTATTGAATAGTTGATTGTTAGATGAGCACGGTCCATTCTGTGCACTGAAGGAGGCAGGAGTCTTATGGAAAATATAGTGTATGATCAGGTAATTAAAGACAGTATCATAATGCATATGCACAAGAGGGCTGAATTAACGTTGCACAGGCAATCAATTCTGGAATGTCCTAACTTTTGACTGCTTGACTTTGCAATCTTAATAATATTCTTTTATTGTAGGCTGACGTGTGTGGAATTTTCTAGTGTATTTTTTTTTAAATAAAGGAAGCTGAGAAAATAAATCCAAGTCATGTGGCATCATATTGCCACCTACATAGATCATCACCAGGGTTGGAACCTCTAGGTCCATTGCACGGACCTCTGCATTTGAGCTAATAGAGTAACTGATAGCAGTAGTAGGTTGTCATCTTCTCTGTGGACCAGCACTAGGGGAGGATGGGGCAGTTTGGGTTCCACAGATATTTGCTGACATCAGAGGAATGCTAAGACTCAGGAACCAAGGGTTACATTTCAGACTCTAGTGTGCTGTAGTGGGGACTGAATCTTCTGCCCATTTCCTCCAAGTATGACCCCTTCTGCTCTGCCTCCTCCAATCTGTCCTTGTCCCAGTACCATTCTCCTCACCTCTCCAGTCCTACTCTCCATTTCTCAGGCTTCTCATCCTAGACCCAGTTTCCTTGCCCAGCCAGTCTCTGTTCCCTCCCATGACTCCCCATCCGATTGGTCTCTCTCCCCCAGCCTGGCCTTCAGTTGCTTCTTTCCCCTGCCCACACTTCCTGTCCTGGCTGGCTCCCAGTCTCACTTTTCCTCCCCAAGATCCTCCTCCAATCTCAGTTCCCCACCTCCTTAGTTCCTTGTCTCAGTCTTTTTTGCCCAGCCAGTGCCAGTTCTCCCTCTGAACCCTGGCAGATCTGTCTCCTCTTCCCCCACCCTAATGGTTCTCAGTCCCAGACTCTTTGCCCAGCCAGTCCCAATCTCTTCTCTCGCCACAACTCCCAATCTCTGTTTCCCTTCCCCTTCCCCTTCCCCGCCACCCCCAGGCTCACTGTCTCAATCTACTCTTCACCCCCCCACACATACACACTTGAAAAGTGGTCTGTGATTTTGGGTGTCTCATCTCAAGTTGAGCACTCCAACTACCTTGGGCATCATTTTCAAAAGTTCCAAGCGCTTCCAGCTGTCACTGAATTGAACGGGAGCTGCAAGTGTTCAGCACCATTGGAAATCAGGCACTACGTGTCTCAAATAAGGCACCCAGAAAGTGAGAGGCTAAGATCAGTGGCTGCTCTTGAGTTGTTGGGTTTTTTTTTTTTTTTTTTTTCCTCAATGACTTGGCCAAGGCCATAGGCGTCAGTGAGCGCTGCAATTAGAGCTTAGGATTTCCTGGCTCCAGCTCCCTGTGCACTGACTATTTGACCATGTTCCCCTTTTATGAAACCCTTTCTTGTGACTGTTAAACCAGTCTCTCAAAGCACATGGGAACTCTGGTCCCCAGTCTCTTTCACAGGGCTTGCCTGCTGTCAGCATCTCAAATAACATCAGTTTCCAGCAAGAGGGCTGCTTCTAGACTAAGTGCAGAACTGCCATCAATTGGAATTAAAAACGTTGTAAAGTGCACTTGAGTTTATCATCTAGAATTCGAGCAGAAAAGAAACAATCTGACAACAGACTGAGTGAGTGAGGGGCTGTTTATAGGAGAGCAGACACTGGAGAAGAGATTACAAATATCATTTCACTTGGAATTTTTATAAAAGTGGCCTGAGGAAAATGCACTTTTCTTCAAACCACATAATACCTGGCTGACTCACAGCATAGAGAAAGTGGATGTTTCTGTTACTGATATCATCCTTGGTCTTACTCAGCTACCAATGATAGAAAAATGCATTAGCTGAGGAAGTGTCCACCTCCATTTACACACAGCATGGCTGTAATTACATTCAAAAAGATCTGATGATAAGTTAGGGCTTGAGCCAACAGCCAACGCCCTTTCAAATCCATTAAAAGACTCCTGTTGACTTTAGTGGGCATTGGCTCAGGCGCCATAACCTACAAAAAAGTATGAATCACCGGAATCCCCTATGGA